CGGACAGCAGACCCTGAACCGCACCCGCTCATTCATCCGCGTAATTTCGCGCTCCGAGGGAGCGACGCGTCGCGCGACAACGCAGCCGTCGGAGCTAATTGTTTACTTGGTTCAAGTGAAACAACGACTGCTTTTATTATTTCGGTGTAGATTGTTTATGTTGTATGATTGTTTGCTCAGGCGTTGATCTTTGAGCCACAACGGCCGTCATTCAAGCGATGTCCATGTTGCCTCGCACCCCGTGTATGGTCAAGTTACAACACTTTTGTGGCGTTTCGCAAATTTTTCCTTCGTAATACGCTTTCTGGTCCACTCGCGGATCTTTTCAGGGTATGTTGCATCGGACTGGGAGGTCTGCCGTCTCAGTGCGGTTGAACTCTACCTTGGCAGAAAAGTTACGAGCCGTGGTCTCCGTAGATGCTTCAGACAAAAGATCCAGCAGCGAAAGGAGTAGCCATGAAGCAGCTGACACTCCGGTAATTTCTTGGGATTTTCTTTTCATCCCTAAAACGTAAGTATCACGTCCGCAGTCGTGGCAACAATCGTACGGCAAAATAACTGTAACATCAATGACCGACAATATCCTTAGACTTGACCACCGTTACTCCAAGACATAACCAGGTTTATTACCAGGAGAGATTTTGGTGCAGAGCATTTAGGGATTTTAAACTCACTTCAAACAGCTGCGCAGTGCGCTTCCGGGGAGGGGGGAAGAGGCAACCTGAGGAAGACCACCAGGAGGACTCAGCCTAACGGAGGAACGAATTCCGTAGAGAAAGGGAAATTGCTTTCGCACCTCGGATTCCCTCTTCTCCGCTAAGGCTTACGTCCTAAAACTAAGCGTTTCTGTGAATCTCACGCAATGTTACGGGCTGCCCGCTCCCCTATTGCACCCAGATGTCTTTTTTCTGAAGGCTTAGAGGGACCAGTACTTGCCTAGTTTCCTTTGTACAAGTGAATAGGATCACCCATTCCGAAGTCTGCTCCCTTGAAAAACTTGAACTACAATAGTTGGCACGAACTATTGCAGTAAAATACTCTCTCACCTCTTTAGTGAAGTATAGGCCGTAGATTATTTGTTCAATTTGCCATAACGTTCCGATGGTAAGTTTTACAACTGATGCCACTCACCCTTGACTGCCGAGGGTTAGGAATTATTGCATTATCCCTTGATGAGAATGGGAGAGGACTCGTAGGGTATGATTTCGTGAATGTTCTAGGACCAGTTACCTTCTCATTCTACCTTAGTTTGTTATGGATAATAGAGAACTCAAGGCGTTTTTTATGCTTCTACAAATAGCAACTTATACTGCCCTTTATGAAGCGGCGCTTTTTGTGAAATAGCATGTGGCAATATCTCATGAACTGCAGAAGAATATGCTTTCCACACTAGTGCCGAAATAGTGCGACTAACGTTGACATGTTAAGGCATCGTCGTTCAATGAAATGTATGTAATGCCCAAGAGGAAGCTTCGTGGACAGTTGCTGGTAGGTTAAATACTTTGTTCACGGGGCACATCAAGTTTGTGAACACTATCAGATACTATTCTTCAGATAGAACAAGCTACTGGACGGAAGAGTTTTGAACAACGTAGTCGACCTGACATTCATGATCGTCTGGCTGTTCGAAGACCAAGATGTGAAGAAATGTCCACTGATCAAGCAAGTTTTTTCCACAAGTTTATTCAATCCAATTTCAATCAAACGTTTGGTGATTTCGTTTTTTTTCTCTGCGTCTCATGATTTTGTCTCATTCGATTACTTAGGATTGGCCAGCAGTCTGGCCTGCAGCACGAACTTTCGCGTCTCGGTCGGTGGACCAACGCTCCCAGTACGGGATGGGACATCGACCTGATCCACTGAAAAACGAGCCTCGTTCAAGAAGGCCAGTATACTTTGATCTCGGCTTTTGTACTCTTTTCTTTGGCATCGTCATACTGAAGTAATCGTATTTTAGGGTAATTTAGAGTTGGTGAAGATACCCAACTTTCTCCATCTTACACCTGCTGCCATAGAAAAGCATTGCAACGCCATCAGAAGTTGGTATTTCACTTTTATCAGGTACATATAAATGTAAAACTTTTTGAAGGATGTACTATTTCAGAGTTTTGCACAGAATTCCCATCAGAATTGATATCGGACAAAAACTTGGCTAGCTCGGAATTTCCTTTGCGAATCTTCTATAACACCTATGTTCACCAAGGAGTTAACATTCGAGATAATCGTGCACGGGTGATTACACTACAGGTGAATCTTGACGCTTATTAGACTTGCTAGACTTTCGAGGTTTATCTTTTTCGCTAGGTGTCCTGTCAAGAAATTATGTGGATGAATTAGGCTATGGTTATTGCTGATACTAACAGCGTGCTTCTCCTGAAACTCTCAATCGAGTGATATTTTTAAGTTGATATTTCTTTCATTGACTGGTGTCTTTCATTTTATTCCAAGATGGGATTGCACCGTTTGGGAACGGTAGAAAAGGGCCAGTGAGGGTGTGTAAGAGGCAAGTGCGTCATTGGTCATTGAATCATCTTACTCAAGAATGGCATGGCGTGTGTCCAAGCTCGTCAAAAAACGTTTGCTACCAACTTCGTAGATTTATTCACCGCATTCCCATGGCTAAGGCACCTTATCATCTAATTACGGTCACATCCTGCACCAGTTCTGTTTAGTCGACATTTTTCACGCTTAGCGCTTGGTAATATTGGTGCGTCTCATTTTTAAACAGCAGCTTTGAGGTCTGTGTTATTTCAGGTGAAGCTTTCAGCCCTTTCGTTGTCTACCCATGCTAGAGAGAAACTTATTCGCCTCGCAACGAATCGATACGATGAGAAAACGGACGTGTTGACCATCATTACGGACAGGTAGGTTTTAGTTCCTGCACAGTTTTGCAATTGCTAAAAAACTTCCATTAAGGTGTCATACAAGAAAACAGAATCTAGATTATGCCTTCTATCTCCTTACGGCAATCTTCCACGAAGCTAATGTAAGTAGTCTAATTATATTTCACAGCTTTTTTCTTCAAATTAATCATTTTACAGAAAGTAGAGCCATGGGAAGCCTTGAAAGAAAGAGCTGATAGCCTCAAGGTCGAGTTTGAAGGCTCAGAAACCCAAAAGAAATTGATATCTGTGCTGAAGCAGGTTATATCACATGAAGTTCTTGTGAGTCTTCATTTCATTTCCCAGACCTCTTGTATTTTGTTATCAGTTAAGAAAAATTTTAATACTGCTCATTTTTTCTGCTTTTTATTTCATTCGGCATTTGTATGTGCTAGTAAGCTGCGATCTGATATTACGTCAAATATGCGATCATTTTTGAAACTAATTCTACGTTCAGGAGTCACCTTTGAAAACACGCGTAAATTCTGCATCTGAGGACGAAATTAGCAATGACCCTGATGTAAAAGAATTCGAGCAAATGTGGAATAACTACGTCAATACTGTGAGTTAAATTACTTCTCCTGCCTTATCCTCCATTTATTTATCTCAAAGTATTGTTAAAACTGAAACTTAAATTGCTGGTGGTTTTTTGAGTGCTCTTACTCAACTGACATAGGTGTTACGAATTGATATTATAGAAGATCCTCATTACAGGAAGAGACTCCAGAGTCGACAAGAGAATATGCTAAAAGTATAAAAGCTCTCTTCGGGATCAAACCCCCTACAGAACATCGAGTTTAATTCACTCTAGTCCTTCACAATATTGTATTTGCTATTACATAATTTTGTGCGACTTATCAGGTATTGCCTTTTGTCCAAGTGTGCTTCTTTCCACAAATAGATTATAGTCAGGTTAATAATTCTACAATATATTCTGATTTTTTTCGTCCACGTGAATTTGGAGGTCTTTAAATGAGTGGTAAATGTTTTTATCTCTTTACTTTTTGTGGCACACATGCC